TAAATTTATAGTAGATTATACCACGAGTCAATAATGAAAGCTATTATTCCCGAGGAATATTTACGAACTGAGCCGCGTTAGCGGCGAGGGAGTAACATTCCAAGGGAATAATAGCCATTATTGCGAGTAGTATACTCTACTTTATTTACGACAAATTATTTTATTTGAGATTTTTAATAGAAAATTTCATCCATTTCAATACAAATCCACCAGCACTACAGATTTGACACTGACACTTTTGAGCAATAATGACCATTAATCCCGCTACTCGTCATTATTCCCTGCGGGTGACATTAGTCGTAAATAATAGTAGATTATACCACGAGTCAATAATGATAGCTATTATTCCCGAGGATTATTACGAACTGAGCCGCGTTAGCGGCGAGGGAGTAACATTCCGAGGGAATAATAGCCATTATTGCGAGTAGTATACTCTACTTTATTTACGACAAATTAATTTATTTGAGATTTTCAATGAACAAGTTTCATCCGTCTCATAATTTTCAATACAAATCCACAAGCACTACACGTTTGACACTGACACTTTTGTGGAATAATGACCATTAATCCCGCTACTCGTCATTAATCCCTGGGGGAATAACATATGTCATTATACTGCCAAAATCACAAATATAATACGCACATTATACATTAGTCGTAAATAAAGTTTATTATCCGTTCACAATCCGATGTCCACAGGTAGGTACAGGTAAAATCACCTTTCAACGCTATTTGATAGGGAAAGGTGATAAATTTACCTGCACCTGTGGACATCGGATTGTGAACAGGATATAGGTACATATATAAGTATTTGTATCGGGTCTTCAAAAAAAAAAACCAATCAAAGATTGCTATGGTTTTTTAAACGTATGTCTTAGCAATATTTGTCTTTAATTTTGTCAATGAAATTTAATGTCAAAATGTTCTGTCAAAAATCCTGACGAATAAAGAAACAGTAATGCGATATACGTTTTCATAGTCAAAGCAATCTTCGATTGTTTTTTTTTTTTGAAGACCCGATACCTTAATCTAGTATTTTGTGCCTTTGAATTTGCCCAAGAATTGTTTAGGAATAACAACTTTTTTTATCTAACGTTTAAGTGTTGTTTTATTTTTTTGCCTCACAGGTCTGCACAAAACACATACATTTAAGCACGTCTGGTATTTAGTTTTTAATGATACAATATGGATAACTAATTATATGTCACCTTTAATAGTACATTAAAATACAAGTTTCATAAGACGTCATTTTATCGCACGAGCCCCCTAAAGGGCGAGTGCGATAAAATGTCTTATGAAACGAATATTTTATACTATTTTTTCTATTTTGGTATTGTTTAATTTAAAAAAATAGTACATTGTTGTATTAGGAGTAGAAGCTTTACTTTTTTGTGCTGAAGCAGTAGGCTTGCGAGCCGAACGTAGTGAGGCTTGCAATACTGCTGAAGCACAAAAAAGTGCTTCTACTCCGTATGCAACACGCTATTTTTTCTCCAAACGAATGGGGTAAGCTTGGTGGCAAGTGAATGGTTGAGCGGCAGTAAAAACTACGAGCGGCACTAAAAGTACTTTTACTGCCGCTCCAGGCGGCACTAAAAGTACTTTTGCTGCCGCTGGGGTTGCCAAGCAGCATAGAAATTAAATTTCTACCACCTCGACAGGTGTTAACCCGCTGGATTTGCCTAGCAGCATAGAAATTTAATTTCTGACATCTTGACAGGGGTTAACAAAGTGGCGTTTTTTTGACGTTTGGAGAAAAACAAATTTTTCTTGGAAATTTTATTCTCATACTTCCTGATTTCATAGTATAGGTTGGTAACACTACATGCCAAATATAGAAATCTTCTATTATAAAATCGCGAATGACAGTTCGATGGCCATCAGTCAGCCAGTGTTACCAACCTCCGATAAGTAAAAAAGGAGTGTCACAAAGAGCTTCTTTTCGAAACTACTTTTAGTGTCGAAAAGACTTCGATATGAAACCAAAATAGAAAAATGAAATTATGTGTTATTTCTCATTGTGGGTAATGCGCTTGTGTAGCTTCTTGCCCACAATGCGAAAGACTGGTTGCCTAACCATCTTTCCATCACTGCCGCGTACGGCAACTATACGGAACACGCAGTCCATTTCATACTCATGTCTCTGGTACCGACCCCTGCGGAATCCCTCTTTCAATGTAATTAAAATCCGATCTTAGTTTTTGCCCCTTTCTAGTGTTTCTTCAATGCTTTAAGGTCTTTTAGTTAGTTACGATTTCATGAATCTCCAAGCAATTCCCCTTATCCCACACAATTCCAACTTTTTTAAGAGTGTTTCATGATCCACACAGTCAAATGCTGCAGAAAGGTCAATACATACTGCCGTTGTTTGATTTTTTTTATTTAGTGACTCTATGATTTTATCTAGAGCTTGATATATGGCCCTGACAGTTGATTTTTCCCTTCTGAAACCATTTTGTCTATTGGATAATATATTTTGATTTTCTATGACGAATACTAGCCTGCTGTGTATGACTTTTTCATAAATTTTGCTAATATTTGATAATAGTGATATGAATTTTTTTGAATTCCACAACCCTAGGTTCTCTTATCTTAAAATTCAAATAACGAGTATTATTTGTAACAAAGTGGAAAAATTCAAGTATCAATAGAGTTCAATTGAACCACTATCAAATAGAGCGAGCCTAAATGTTATTGCAATTGGAATATTTTAACACTTTCCAATCAAAATATAACCTTATATCAATGCGAATGCAAATGTCGATTAAACAAAGCCAACGTTATGCCCGAGATTTAGATGTTTGTTTGTTTGTTATTTCCTTTTTTTTGCCGCCTATTTCCAACCATCGTCGTTTTGGCCGGCGGTGCACTTATGTAATACCCGTGCCGGTTTTCAGATTAAAGCGCTTTATGAGAACTCTTAACCCAATTTTGAATATGAGCGCCATGAAGTGTATACGTAGAGAACGGTAACAATCCGAATGAGGTACAATTGAGTCATGTTAGTGGTATTTCTCTTTTGTTGTCCGTAACATAATATTATTTTAAAATTTTCTCCCTTTCGAAAAACAAAGAGAAATTATTATTATTTCACAAGTGTTATCGTTACAGATTATTTCCCATGAAGCCAAAGATATAAAGAAAACGTGTTTATTAGAAACGAGGGTAATTGAGCGGCAAGATCGGTGGTTCACTCTAAATCAGAAATCGATTCACTTTAAAACGGGCGCGATTCAAATATATAGGGAACGCTTCTAGCAAAAGAACTATTTTTATTTTGGGTGTAGTGTAAAACTAAATTTGCTGAAACTTTAACGCAAATCAGTCAAACAAAATTTCCTTTGACTTCTTATCGAACAATATGCATAATTTAGCATATATGACATCAAGCCTCGCTTACCTACAAACACAGGAATATATCTTTTGACATGCAAATCAGCATGGCCTCATTCTCCTATGAACACAGGCTATTTCTGGAAGGGATTTTGCAGTCGAAAATAATATAATTGCATTTCATTAAAGCAAATTTATCAAATGAAATTCCTGAAGTTTCCAAATTTAAACAACGCAGTCACTCCCAAGAGACGACATCAGATTAATAGTCTTTTAGGTAAAACATAAGCAGCCAAACTTCGTGCGATGCTTAAGCTGTCATGCGAAATTTAATCCCGTGTCAGCCTCATATCCCGTGTATAAATCCTACATGCATGTTCGGAGCCTGCATAAATCTACTTTGTATGGAAGAAGCAGTAGCACGGCTAGAGAATTTGTAACATTGTAAATGTCACTGTTTGTTTAATAATTAATCTTTATCTCAATACTTGAATTTTTAATCAATTAACCATCCTACGTCCAACTTAATCTCTACTTGAGCTACTGCGGTCTTATGTGATGATGACAAAAAAAAAAACATTCATGGCCGACACGAGTATTTGAAACATTACTGCTTTACATTTCTACGGCATCGGTGGACCCAAATAATCAAGGAAATTGTGACATCTTCGGTTGAATAAATAATTATATTTCTTAGAAATAGCGGGAGTGTAATTTAGGTAAGCGTATTGAAATAATGCGAGTTCATGGTAAGATCAAGAAAGTATTTATACAATCAGGGAGAGGAGACACTGTACATGTAGGAAGTTGACACTTTAATATTATAACCATTTATTGCAATGAATCTGGATGCAAAGTGACTATAGAACATTATTGCAAAATTAACTGAGTTCAATACCTTCGACCCAGTGTGAGATTTTATAAATTTTTAGACAAATTTCCTCGTGTCATTTTATCATTTTGCCATGAAATTAACTAGCTGATTTATATTAGTAAATAACAAAAACCATTACAAATCACCGTGTAAATTTATTTTTCACTTTATAACGACCCTAAGTGCAGCTTGAAACCCACATATTGTGTTCAAACTAGCACCGCATAACTATTAAATTAAATATGTGGGAATATGGTTTCCCCTATTCGATTTTATAGTATAAACGTGTCGCTAGAGGCAAATGTGCAATTACCTTAATTAGTTACTTAATTTGTGCATTGGGTATAAATTTAGTTGTAAAATGTTGACTGATTTATAGCTAGAAAGAGCATTTACATTGTCAATATGCTAATTACAATGAACACGTTACATTGAACAAACGTAGAATATATTTTTATTTCTTATAACTTAAAGTTTAAGCTCAAAGGACCTTAATTGACCACCATTGATTCCTTGAGATATGTTATAACTTACTAATATAATATACACACTTTATTGGTTATACAATATAATGTTCAAATTTATAATTAGGTATATGATTTCTTTGAGCTTTAGCCAAATATATTCCGACTCGTTATATTCGATTCGTAAACCGCAACGTGACCTACTAAAAAGCCAACACATGCCATCAAGTCCCTTTTGTGAAAGTTATAAACCTTCTTCGAACATAAACCATTTTAATAAATGGCTTTTCTCGGCAAAAGAAATTTATATAAAGAATATATTCACTCACCATTGGTAAATCCCTGTCCCCCGAGTGATGTTGGAAGTGTAGAAAAAACGTTTTTCCACCACTCAAAGAATGCAAATATCCTATCCTAATGAGCGGCGCCACCGTATGCCCGTCACTAAGCACATCCAAAGTCGCGTCGCGCACACTCAACGGATTTTGACTAGGTCGTTCCCAATCCGTGTATTCGTTTTTTAAAGTCGAAAAAATCTCGTTCAAATGAAAATAGTACGAATTGCGAACGTACGTCCGTAAAATTCTGTCCCGTTTCGTTTCGTTAAAACCGAACTCTAAGTCTTGAGCGTTGAGGTCCAAATAGGACTCGGTGTTTGTAAGGGCGAACAACAGATCGCGTTCGGGGAAATCTGCCAGTTCGTAGCCCGCTGACGTGGCTATTGTTGAGCTACTTGTCGCTGGTGGCGGTGTGGTGGGGTTCACTAGGATCGTACCATCGATGAATGGTGCAAAACCTAAAAAACATTTATATTATATATTATAACAAATTAATGGATATATTATATCATATACATATAAGTTTCCTTTTTCTAGACTACTCATAAATAATTTGGCCTTCCCAAGAAGCGAAGAGTGGGTGTAGAATGAACATGCCTTACTATAAAAGCAGATCTATGTCGGTTCACGGATGGATCGAAGATAGACAGTGCGGTAAGAGCGGCCCTTTAAGTTGCAAAACCGAAAACTATGTTATCCATCAGTATATGGAAGAATGCAGCCATCTTCCAAGCGGAAGTGCATGCAATTGGAATGGGTGTGAGGAGGCTGCAGAATCGACCCTAAACTCACAAAATCATAAAATATGTTCCGCCAGCCAAGCCGCTCTCAAGGCGCTTAGCTCCACCTACTGTAATCTGAGAATAGTCTGGAGTTGTCAGGAAGCTATAAGCAAATTAGGAAAGAAAAACAAGGTAACCCTAATGTGGATACCGACACACGCTGGCCTTGAGGGCAATGGAATGGCGATGTCCTTGTCAGAAGTCGAAACCAACTTCACAGGGTCAGAGCCAGTGATGGGGCAATTGCCCATAACATGGCAAACCAAACCATCAAAACCTGTGCAGATAACAAAGCCTACGAACATTGGCTAAACTTGCCAAGGATGACACAAACAAAGGCAATCATGACAACCGGTGAAAGAACGCTCGGTTGAAAGGACGCTGGACACTGGAGTCTAAAACACCACACCTCAGCACAGGATTGGACTGACAAATGATGCTGAGTGCAGGCTATGCATAGAGGATGAGGAGACAGCTGCACACATTTTTTGCAAATGTCTGGCAGGTGGCAGACTGAGGCATCGTATTTGGGCATCGGTCCCACTGGGAGATCCGAACAACATCTCTCCAGGTACTATCCTGGATTTTATTGGGAAAATAGGCATGATTGGAGAAATATATTACGGCATGATTGGAGTGTAGGATCGTAATAGGCCCACTAATTTTCGACCTAGCCTAACTAATGAAATGGCACGATTTAGTAAGTCATTCATCATTGAGCCTGAAGCTTCCACATCCTACAACTCACCATTAGAAAAGTTCTGTGGGTCCATGGTAGAGAATTTCATACATCTGTCAAAACTAACATTCCAACAATAAACTGATGATGTTTTTATTGTTGATTTAAACCAATCAGATTAGAATTACGTGATAATTTGCACTAGTACAAATTATCGGATAATTGCATAGTAACTGGTGCGAGAACTGGTGTTTTGACATTTTTTGACAAAAAATTTAAATTTTTGATTGACTATTTCACTAGAGGGTTTTACACTGGTAAAATGTCATGGAAACGGCCGATTTCCTACTGACAAAACTCCTACCTGGTCCTACCTGGACAAAACCAACATGATGGTTTTTCAGCGACAAAATTTTGTGTAGAGTAAAAAATTATTGCGTTTGACAAGTGTCACCTAAAGAAAATAAATTTCCCTAATGAAAATTTGGCTTGTTTTTCTCATGAAACAGTCCAGCCGAATACCACTCAAGAAAAAATTATGTAGGCAAAATTATTCTCTTGGTTTTATTCAAGTTTGTTGCTTTTTGGTAATTTCGCTCATGAAATTTTTGACAAAACCACTCGCCTGACGGCTCGTGAAGATGCCAAGCAACAAACTTTCATACTAGTCGACAATTTGAAAAGTAGCACTCGGGAATATCTCTTAGACAGAAACTACTATCAAGAAGATCTCAAATACGTATCGGGGGATCGGAGGGGGAAGCAAAATGAGGAACTTTTTGAGTCACCCCGATTCACCTCTTAGAGGGTAAAGTCTGGTTTTTTTTTTTAAAGATAATTCCCCAAGTCAAAAATTTAGTAACTATGTTGGAAACACAAGCCTTTTCTACATAAAAAATTTGAAAGCATTGACAATTTTACATTGTATTGCCAACAGAATGTAATTTTGACTTTTATCTTAAAAAAAAAACAGATTTTAGCTACCCTAACTAATTTTTCTTAAATACGAACCTACCTTGTGTTGCACATCGTTCGATAGCTCGTTGCTATCCCTTTACAGTCACATGGCAAAATCTTAAATCGGACGATTAGTTTTTGAGATATCGGTGTTTAAAAATGAGCATATTTTGAAAACTAGTAATTTTGACTATCTCTTATGCCCGATTGCACCGTCTCTCTTAACCGAGGCTTAGAGATAACTATTCCTTAAAGTGACATTTTCCCATGCAAAACTGTCAATTTAAGGGATAGTTATCGTTAAGCCTCAGTTAAGAGAGATGGTGCAATCGGGCATTAGACAAAATAATTGTGTCATAAAAGTGTCAAATACACATCGGGAAAACCAAATGTATATATTGCCTAACCCCCACCCCCTTGTCTTGGGGATTAGCCACTCCTAATAATTTTTCTAAAATCAGAACCTACCCCGTGTGATAGCTCCTTTGAAAGGTTACTTAGGGAGGATTTTCATGCATCCGTTTTTCCGACGAAATATGTCCGTTTAACATTCTATTCTGACATAATCGTATATAAATATGTCAAAATAGAAGACTTTTTGGACATATTTCGACGGAAAAACGGATGCATGAAAATCCTCCCTTATTCGTCTTTAGAGACGTGTCGCCGATGTGTATTCGAAACTTTTATGATAGAATTTTTTTGTCTATGAGTTTTCAAAATGTGCCTACTTTTAAACACCGATGTCGCGAAAAGTAATCGTCTGATTTAAGATTTTGCTATATGACCGTAAAGGGATAGTAATGAGCTATCGGACGATGTGCAACACAAGATAGGTTCGTATTGAAAAAAAAATAAATTGGGGTAGCTACCCCCTAAGGTGGGGGACTCAAAAAGTGCCTCATTTTGGTTCCCCCTCTAATCCCCCGATACGTATTTGAGATCTTCCTGATAGTATTTTTTGTCTAAGAGATTTTTCCGATTGCTACTTTTCAAATTGTCACCCTGTATAATACCACATGAGAAAAAAAATTGTTGGCAAAATTTTCGACTGGAGGGGTTTATTTGAAACATGCAATTCAAATAGGTACAGGGTGATCCAGTATAAAGTGAACACCCCCTACCTTTTCGCAAAAACATTTTTTTTTCAAAAAATCAAGATAGCCATTTGGTGTATTTTGTTTCTAGGTGTTTGAGAACGTTTTTCGAAATTTAATTAGATTTTTCGTTTAAGCGCTGTGACCAAAAAAGTAATTTTTTTAAATGGAATAACCTATATTTAAGTCAATTTTTTAAACGTCCCTATTTTTTTCATTTCAAATATATAGTTGGTTTATCTTTATTCTAAAAATTTGCGATATTTTCTCCCTTCAAAATTCACATAAAAATAGCCGAAAAGGTATCATGAAACATAATCACCAGCACCTTTATTAAAGGTAAAATTATTTTGATTTACCTTGATACCTTTTTCGGTTATTTTTATTCGAATTTTGAAGTGAGAATATATCGTAAATGTTTAAAATAAAGATAAACAAACTATATATTTGAAATGAGAAAACTAGGGACGTTTAAAAAATTGACTTAAATATAGGTTATTCCATTTAAAAAAATTACTTTTTTGGTCACAGCGCTTTAACGAAAAATCTAATTAAATTTTGAAAAACGTTCTCAAACACCTAGAAACAAAATACATCAAATGACTATCTTGATTTTTTGAAAAAAAAAAAATTTTGCGAAAAGGTAGTTCACTTTATACTGGATCACCCTGTACGTCTGACTAAAGGCCGGTATTATAAAACACTGAACCGATGGTTGAGTTTCAACCTTCGGTTGACTCCATGCAAATTGATAGGATTCAACCGAAGGTTGAAACTCAACCATCGGTTCAGTGTTTTATAATACCGGCCCTAAGTTGCAATTTTTAACGGTGAAATTCAAAAAAATGCACATGTGGCTTATTTCAAACTTTCGTCGACGCATTTTGCAAAATTCGTCGACGCAAGATTGCATTTGACATGCGTCACCCCTAGAGCTCGTGCATTTCCAAATTACACGCGAAAATTTCTTAAACATTTCAGTTTAGTCGACAAAGAGTTTTATTTGCAACCATATATGTAATATTGACATTAGAGTCTTTTTAAAAATTTGAAAATGTCACTTTACTGTCTCTTCATTTCCCTGCTCCACTTCCCGTCCTCATTTCCCCTCCTGACTTCCCGTCCCCATTTTATTAAATTTATGTGGCAGGTATTGTCAAGTTTCTTTCAAAATTGATGACAATGACATAAAATTCAAGCAAATAGCATGAAGCTACATTCACATTTCATTTCATTTCTAATTTAAATTGGCAAAAATTATGGTTAAAAATAAAATAGTATACTATGCTCGACAGGAAATTTAATTACTGTCTCGAGATATAGTTTATCTCGACGCTACGCGTCTTGATAAACTATACAATCTCTCGACAGTAATAGCTAATTTCCCGTCTCGGATTGTAATATACTATTATTCTTAACCATATATGAAATGTTGTCATTACTGACTTTTCAAAAATTTGAAAATGTCACATTTCTGTCTTTTCATTTTCCTGCTCCATTACCTGTCCCAGGACGGGAAGTGAGGACGGGAAATTTTTTCCGTCCTCATTTCCCGTCCACGGACGGAAAATGGAGCAGGGAAATATTTCCCGTTCTCATTTTCCTCTTCATTTGCCGACCTCATTTGGTTGCCCCGAATTTATTTTTTTTCAAGAAATTATGGTTAAAAATAAAATAGTATACAACCCTCGACGGGAAACTTCATTGCTGTCTCGAGGTTCAGTTTATCTCGACGCTACGCGTCTCGATAAACTATAAAACCTCTCGACCAGTAATGAAGCATTTCCCGTCTCGGATTGTAATATACTATTCCTGGCCTCATGGAATTCGAAAATATTGTTAATTTGAATGCTCTAGAAAGGACCGAGTTGTATAACCATAACCGCAAGGGTTTCAGAAATCCAAGAATAGACACATGCATTAGGCAATTCAATCCATCTGTC